CTCTTTCTCTCTTTCTCTCTTTCTCTCTTTCTCTCTTTTCCTCTTTCTCTCTGCTGTTCTGCCTTTCTCTGTTTGTGTTTTTTCATGTTTTCTGGTAAGAGGCAGGCAAAAATTTACTCCATCAAGGTTTGGCTTCTATTCCAGAGACATTAACACTACCAGAAGAAAGCTCCTCTCCAGCCTTCTCCCATGCTTACAGCTGGGACAATTCCTCACTTTACTCAGCCTTCTATGTGGCTTCAACAGAAAACAAAACAAACAAAAAATCCCCACTTTCCCTAATATTTGAAGATCATGGTGGGATAATAATTCATCTGACTCAAGAGCTATTTTGCTCAAAAGTAACTCTCCTTTGCTCAAAGTAACTTTGCTCAGAAGGATCAACATTTGCAAAAAGGTTTTCAGAAGATGGCTTCACAAAGGGGTTGCCTGTAAAAAAACAACTCACACAAGACGATATTTGGAGTTGATTTCACCTAAGTTTGGAGCAATAAATAAATAATCTCAGACACTCTTAAACAGTATGCTTAAAGGTGAATCCACACCATCCTTCATAGCTCTTGGATCATCCTCTGAATTACCTAGTCTTTCGTGTGTTCAATCATACAAATAGTATAACCACTGAGCAACTTACCTGGGAAAACTGAGCAAAACTGGGGTCAGCAAAAAGAGGCACATGTCCTAGCAGCTCGTGACAAATATCACTGCAGGAAAAGATGACATCTGAATTACTGTGATACAGGAAAAGTCCAGCAATGCTGGATGAACGCCCTAGAGTCAGCACATAGGCAAGAGCATAGTGCATTTGCTCCTGCAAGAAAATATCACTCCCAGGAAAACATTTTGCTCTAAGATTGTTCTCATGATGGAAATACTTGCAAACTCCAGGATTTTCAGTGCTTTTATCATCATACATCACTCAGCAGAAGGATGATACACTATTTGTTTTTCCTTATGGAAGAAAACCATCCATTTAACTGCCCACCCAGCTTAAGAAAGCCCAGAAAGGTATCACCCCACCAAAGAGAACATAGATGTTTCAGTCTCAAGGACAAAAAACATTTTGAGATGGAGCTCAGGCAACTAAGACAACTCACTATAATGTCAACATGTACCTCAAGAGCTCAAATCCAGTCCCTGTTCAGGCCCATAGCCTCCCACTGAGAGGTGAAAGCTACATATGATGAAATAGGTAGGATTATTTCATCACTAGTTGAAGTTGGCAGCTGGACAGGCAAATCTCTCACCTAAGGACTGTTAGATTTTTCAAATACAGAGAAGTGATTTGGTGAGATGGAAAAAGGAGAGGCATAAGATGCTCTCAAGAAGGCCAGGACTGTGGATAACTTTTCAGCCTGGCTTTGTGCAGGATGAGAATAGGGTGAGCAAAAGCAGGAAGTAAAATCAGAAGAATGAAACTAGAATAAAGGAAGGGAGAAGAGGTTGTGGGAAGTAAGGAGAAAAGAAACAGTAAGTGAGGTGAGGAAGAATTGCAACAATATGAAGCAGAATGAGAAAACTGTTTTGAAAATGGCAAGTGGAAAAGGACAATGGACAGGGACAGAGAGAAACATTCCAACGTAAAACTGAAAAAGTGATGGGTTCAGTGGTCTGGGCTTCCCCTATCTTGCTGCCAGAACCTTGCTTGCAACATGTTGAGTCATTCCTGCACTAGATTTCACACCACTATTTGGGTGTTAATAGCTAAGCTGTGTTAGTACACTGTTCTCTTGCATCCCAGCCACTGGAGGAGCATGCCTTCAGTAGCAAAACCATCTCATTTGCCCCAGAAGAACTTGCAGAAGAGGATAAAAATTGTTAAAAAGACTAAAAATGTTCTGGAACAGTTTTCAGAAGAGAGTAGTCACTTGGCTGCTCTCCATTAGCTCTGTTCCCAGGAGTGCTCCCAATTCCCACATGGTTATTATCGGTTGGACTGACCCTGCTGTTAGTCTGCTGCAACTTTACACACTTTTTGTGCCAAAGTACTTACGGCTCTGGTGTGTACATGGGTTTGGATGCATGGCGAATATACTGTGTAGAGTGGAATACTCGAAATGCCAGCCCAGCCAAGAAATCCCGAGAGGACAGTAAGCCTGCAACAGGACGCAGGCGAAATCCAGTGCAGCCTGAAGGGAAAAAACATGGAATCTTAAAAACAGCTAACGTGTTCAATTTATCCATATCCAGACTTCCTGCAGTGGAAGTTTGTTAATTGTTTTGGGGTTGGTTTGTTTTTTTTTTTTTCTCTCTCTATGTTAAACAGAGTTTAATTGTGAAAGAGCAGGGAATTTGTTACTCATATGTCCCACCAGCACAGCATCTGAACATCTGTCCAACTGTACCCCTGGAAGCATTAGAGAGGGATCTGGGACATAGGTTAAGTCATACCATAGGGAGCCTATGGTAAAGCAGGGACTGTTTTTACATCTCTGGAAGCATCACCCCCACTGATAGCTGAGGCCTTTAATTTCATCTGGTTCTTTTAGGTGCTTCAAACTTACTCTGCAGGAAGTTTGAAACATCTTCAAGCTGGGGAATATTGTCCTCTTGGTAGCCACAGTACTTCTCCAGCAGTGGGAACACATGGTTGTGTTCATAACAAGCATGAGTTGGATAGAGGCTCTTCAGCTCCCTGAAGACGGTGCCCCACGTTTTCTTTTCTTCTTCCGTATAGATGACACGAGGAATAGGTTGGCCACTAGAAAGAAAATGGTACCCTCCGTAGCAGCGACACAGAAGATGTCATATGCCACCAGCACCCCACTCTTTCTCCTTTTACACTTGCTATTTTCAAAAGTTTTCTTATTCGGCTTCATATTGCAGGTTTACTTGGGCTGACCAGGAGCTCCTGATGCAGGAGGGAAGATGCCTTTGGTCTGACATGTAGATGCAAAAGGAGCCTCACTTGTCCCTAGGCACTGGCTGGAAAGGGCTCTACTGACCTTGGCTGAGATATTGGCCATTAGACAGCTCCTTGCATTATTGTGTTTAAAATAAATCAGTGCTTATTTGTTTTGTCAAAATTTTCTTCTTTTTTGCATTTCTAGATATGAAGTAGCTGCTTTATTTCTTGCTCTAATGTGCATTATATTAATGCACATTAATAACAACAGGGAAACCATCAGCTTAATAAAACTCTGTTGGAGTGGCAGAGAAATTCTGATCTGTGCTTTATGCTGTAACAAATGCAGACTCCAGCCAATTTGACTTTTTATAATTGTAATGAGCAATTTTGAGTCAAATCCCACCCTCAGGCCTCCATGTGCTTAGCTCATGCTGAAGCTAACAGGAATCATACAATCACAAGTAATGCAGTCTGGCCTCCTGTGAATAGCCAATTCCTCAGCAATAATGTTAGGGCCATAGGTGAAGCCAGCAGCTTTGAAAAATCAAAGGGTTTTAAGTAACTTAATAGGGTTAACATCACTGCTGGAATAATGCTGGAGTTTTCCAAGCCCCAGAGACCCATTGTTAAACTCTTGATGACACCCTACAATCTCCTACTCCCTCATTTTTTTTCTTGAGCCTCAGGGCAGCTCCTCTGGAGTACCATCATTTCTGACTCTCTGTATCAGCCCTTCTTGATCTGTGGAGCTTTAAACATCCTGTTGAATTATGAGGATTTCTGGGGGATTGTTGTTCCTATAGCACTCCCAAGTAATCCTCAAACACCTTCAAGGGTTATTTCAATTTCAATTAATTTCAATTAAAAAATTTTAGGATAGGTGGGGCTGGAGGCAAAGGAAGGCAGAAGGAAGAGGCAAGCTAAAAGCAAAGAAAAGAGAAGTCAGGAAAATTAGGCATTCAACAAAAACGATGGGTAAATCTATCAGGAGAGGAGGCAGAGAGCAAAGGAAAAGTAGAGGCAAACATAATAAAGAAAGAGGATAAAATAGGTGCAAAAAAGGGATACAGAAAAGAATGGAATTGAAGACGGGAAGAAGAGTACAAGACAAGCAACCGCTGACCCATCTCACCTTTGCAACCAGGTAGCACCTTTGCAAACTAAGCACATTTGCCTTTTCATATACTTCCCATGAAGCCTAAAAACTTTGGTTGTGCCTCTCCTCCTGCCTGCTTCTCTGTATCTCTGTCCCCCTATGCTGGAGACAACCTCTGACTCTCCTCCCCACTGCAGAGCCTGAAAGGTATGTTGTGGGGTAGCACCCAAGACAAAGACATCACAGATCGATCTGTGCCTTCCTGAATTAACACACAAAGTCACAAAAACCACATACCTTCTTTCCATGAGCCCCAGAAGCCCAGACATGGGCTTTGACACCCTATTTACTGAAAGACCTAATTGGAAAGTCTGAGAACTTCACATAAAAGGTTCATTTGGGACTTAAGTCTAGGTCTATACAGGTTCTGTTTCCAAAGTAACTGA